CGCTGAAAATATCCTCACTGAAAAACCGAAGAGATATGACAATGTCAAGGAACACAGGGATGCAAGGATGAAGAAACTGCAGCAGGAGTCCTACTGGCCCATGCTAGCCAGGTCCATCTCACCCACCTACACACGGACACTCATGTACTTTCCCAACCTAGTGTTAAAACTATACAAGGGGCTGTGGTTCGTACGTCAGCTTGCGTGCGGCCAGAAGTAATAGCCTGGTTGATCAGACCCTGATCCACCATGAGGCCTGATCTCAGACCGAGCCGCGGGGGCGTTGACCCCCGAAACCCTCTCCAGGTAAACTCCAGGTAAGCGACACAACCTGGATAGTTGTTCCACTCTTCTACAACTATGTTGGTAACTAGTACTTTCCTTTATCCTTTCTAAATCTACATTTATCCAGCTTGAATCCATCTCATCGAGTCCTGTCATGACTGGATATTTTCAACACGTCACAGATGTGAACAAATGGATAAGAAAAATATGTTAGTGTCAGGAAGAGGGTGAACAAGAAGCCATAACTTTTAAACAGCGTAAGAAGCAGTGCAGAAGGGTTATCAGAAACTCATTTAACGGACAGTGTGCAGCTGGAGTGACGTCACAGAAGAAACAGTGTGTAGGAAATATTGAAATTTTATTCAAATCTGTGTGATACTGGTTTTACATGACGGATGATTTTACAACGGATGATTAAAACACACACACAGCGTTGCTGTGAATCGACCCCTGCACTCACAAATGGGTGAGCACACACACACATACACACACACACACACACACAACCTTCTAACACCTATCGATTTAAATATCACAAGATCAATTTGGGTGATTACTTTCACGTGTAGGGTGTGTCGTCTCCCCTCCCGCCTCCCCCTACCTTTCCTTCCCTCCCCTTCTCCACCCCTCGCTTCCCCTTCATTTTTCTCTCCCCTCCCCTCTTGTCTTCGCCTTTCCTCACCCCTTGCTTTTCAAAACCATTCTCGTTGTTCTCTTTCATCGTGTTGCTTCCAACCCCCACATATTCCTCCCCACATTCCTCCCCTTCCCACACATTCCTCCCCTTCTCGCACATTCCTCCCCACACATTCCTCCCTCTCCCACACATTCCTCCCTCTCCCACACATTCCTCCCTCTCCCACACATTCCTCCCTCTCCCACACATTTCCTCCCTCTCCCACACATTTCTCCCTCTTCCACACATTCCTCCCTCTCCCACATTCCTCCCTCTCCCACGCATTCTTCCCTCTCTCACACATTCCTCCTTCTCTCACACATTCCTCTTTCTCCCACACATTGCACCCTACACGTTTCCTCTTCTCCACACATTCCATATCCACATTTTCCCCCTCGCCACACGTTCCACCCCGCACACTTTCCCCCCTCTCCACACGTTTTTTCTCTCTATGCAGTACATCCACCCTTTGCAGCCCACACATCCCTTCTATCATCTTACACATTCCTCCTTCCATTCCACATATTCCGCCTTCACCTACCCCCCTACATCCCCGCCAACACCTTCCTCTCCAACTAATGCCTGATGCCTTAGCAAATCGATGCATCACAACATTAGCCCGGCGTAACATCGTCAGACGCAGAGTTGTCATGTTCCTTCTCAGGCAGACATTACTGTCACTAGCAGTGCCAGGCACAGTCTGGCACCTCTACGACAGTAATAGGTGTGGTGGTGGGTGGCAGATGGTGCTAGGGGGGAAAGGGAGGGCGGAAAGGGGGGGTTATGGGTGAGGGGGGAGATGGGTGTTATATGCTGGGGAAAGGGGTTGGAGGTGGGAGAAGGAAGAGGAAAGAAGTGGGAAAGGAAGTGCAGGGGTGAGGGCTAGGAGGACGTAGGATAGGTAATTTGGGCGTGGGGTGGCTGGTTTAGGCGTGGGATAGGTGGTTTTAGCATGGGATATTCGGTTTAGAAATGAGATAGGTAGTTTTGGAATGAGTTGGTTGATTTGGGCGAGAATTGGTTTAGACGTGGCATAGGTAGATTTGAGTTGGTTTAATGGTTTTTGGCTTGAGATAGAGTAAAGTAATTCTTTTAAGAAGGAGAAGAACTGCAGTAGGCCTACCGGCTAATACTAAGGTTATTCTAACAATTCTCGCTTAGACGAAGAATTAAATACATGTGTAGCATCTGGGTATCTTTATTTGTAGATGTTTCGCTAACCAGTGGCTGTAACCAGTCTTCAAGACTACGGCGCTCTCCACCACCTCCAAGGCTAGGGGACGGATTACCTCATCTTTTGTATATACTACTTTATTCACATTATGCCCTTGTATTGTACTGATAAAGCCACTGGTTGGTGAAACGTCTGCAATACGAGCTGAACCGGTGCGGGTCATAAGGAGCAAGGTGCAGTGGAGGCTCTCTCCTCCGTACTTCATTCGCTGTCTGAAGTCTCTCCACTCCTACTGTGTAAGTGACTTGCAGCCCGATTGTTCAGAGACTGATGCTGCAGTCTGTTTAAAAATTTCCGAAGTCAGTCTGAAAAGTCTTGTATTGTGTTAAACAGTCAAGGTTAGTGCAGTTTTTTTTTTTTCCATTTCGCTGGCACTTCCGAAATTAAAATCGTCGGCGAGCATTGTCACGAAGAATTTCAGGTCCCTTAGGCAGCCTGGGCTCGAGGCTGGCAGCGCTGAATGCTAAACAAGGAAGATGTTTAGAAGCTCAAATTCGTCAGTAACACAAGTGTGGCTTCCTCCAGTGGAGACCCGCGTGATTTAATTCAGTGGTAACTCGTGTGTGATCCTCCAGTGGTAACCCTTGTGTGATCTCCAGTGGTAACCCTTGTGTGATCTCCAGTGGTAACCCTTGTGTGATCCTCCAGGTAACCCTTGCGTGATCTCCAGTGGTAACTCCTGTGTGATTCCCCAGTGATAATCCTTGTGTGATCCTCCAGTGGTAACCCGTGTGAGCTCTTCCGGTGGTAACTCGTATGAGTTACTCTAGCGGTAACTCGTGTGAGTTCCTCCAGTGGTAACCCGTGTGATCCTCCAGTAGTAGCCCGTGTGAGTTCCTCCAGTGGTAACCCGTGTGAGTTCCTCCAGTGGTAACCCATGTGTGATCCTCAGGTGGCAACCCGTGTGTGATCCTCCAGTGGTAACCCGTGTGTGATCCTCCAGTAGTAACCCTTGTGTGATCCGCCAGTGGTAACCCGTGTGTGATCCTCCAGTGGCAACCCGTGTGTGATCTCCAGTAGTAACTCCTGTGTGATTCCCCAGTGGTAATCCTTGTGTGATCCTCCAGTGGTAACCCGTGTGAGTTCTTCCGGTGGTAACTCGTATGAGTTACTCTAGTGGTAACTCGTGTGAGTTCCTCCAGTGGTAACCCGTGTGATCCTCCAGTAGTAGCCCGTGTGAGTTCCTCCAGTGGTAACCCGTGTGAGTTCCTCCAGTGGTAACCCGTGTGTGATCCTCCGGTGGCAACCCGTGTGTGATCCTCCAGTGATAACCCGTGTGTGATCCTCCAGTAGTAACCCTTGTGTGATCCTCCAGTGGTAATCCGTTTGTGATCCTCCAGTGGCAACCCATGTGATCCTCCAGTGGTAATCCGTTTGTGATCCTCCAGTGGTAACCCGTGTGTGATCCTCCAGTGGCAACCCGTGTGATTCTCTAGTGGTAATCCGTTTGTGATCCTCCAGTGGTAACCCTTGTGTGATCCTCCAGTGGTAATCCCTGTGTGATCCTCCAGTAGTAACCCTTGTGTGATCCTCCAGTGGTAACCCTTGTGTGATCCTCCAGTGGTAACCCTTGTGTGATCCTCCAGTGGTAACCCTTGTGTGATCCTCCAGTGGTAACCCGTGTGTGATCCTCCGGTGGCACCCGTGTGTGATCCTCCAGTAGTAACCCTTGTGTGATCCTCCAGTGGTAACCAGTGTGTGATCCTCCAGTAGTAACCCTTGTGTGATCCTCCAGTAGTAACCCTTGTGTGATCCTCCAGTGGTAACCCTTGTGTGATCCTCCAGTGGTAACCCTTGTGTGATCCTCCAGTGGTAACCCTTGTGTGATCCTCCAGTGGTAACCCTTGTGATCCTCCAGTGGTAACCCTTGTGTGATCCTCCAGTGGTAACCCTTGTGTGATCCTCCAGTGGTAACCCTTGTGTGATCCTCCAGTGGTAACCCTTGTGTGATCCTCCAGTGGCAACCCGTGTGTGATCCATGTGACAAGCCATGTGGTGGGTGAAAGAATACTTTAAAGAATATTTGAAAAGAATACTTAAAAAAAATCTAAAAAAAAATATTTAAAAGAATACCCAGTAGAAACCAGCGAGAGAAATGAATCCATTTATATGAAGACTTTTTTCTCTTCCGCTTGTGAGTTCCCATCAACACATAACCAGAGGTGGTAACCCTATGTATATGCATACCGTATATACATTTTATATATATATATATATATATATATATATATATATATATATATATATATATATATATATATATATATATATATATATATATATATATATATATATATATATATATATATATATGTATAAGATAGGAGGAAGGTGTGGTTGGTTATGTGGCAGTATTTGTAAGAGACTTCAGCAACTCCGGGATTGGTTGCCATCATCTTCAACAGTTGGTATAATAACAATACGTAGCCTCGAAAAGAAAAAAAAATATGTAGAGCGTAAGAGGAGACGGCGGAGCTGCCCTAGAACGATACATAGTTCAAATATTGAGGGACACAATTTTCTTTCTTCTATTTTCAGGGTACATTAATGTCTGCCTCCCGCACAACCTCTTCTTGGCCGCCTCACTTTGATGGTAACCAGACATTTGTGGCCCTTTTGCGCTATTCTCCCTGAGTGGCAGAGCCCAGCGACGCCCTCGAATCCCCATTGGCTGGTTGGGAAGATGTTCTGGCTTCCCATTGATGAGTTCGCAGTGAGACATGCGCGGGGAAGACCAATGGGTGTGCGGGGAGGTGGGGCTTCGTATTCCCCGCTGTGACAGGCGGTCTGGAAGCGCTGGGCGTCAGTGTTCCTTGGCGCTGCCTATTTAGAGGTTGACTCTGTGTGTGATTTAGTGAAGTGTTGAGAAATTTCCGCTGGCCATTCTGCTGGAGTGTAGGCACTTTCCCGCCGCTATGACGGAGACCATCAAAGGTAAGGTCCGTGACCGAACTTCCTCGGACCGCTTCCTGCAGTTTGTAATCCCCTTCGTAGTGTGGAAAATTCTGGCTGATCGTTTCGTTGGTGCGTTCGTTACTCGTATCAATGTAATTTCTCGTTAGTTCCAGCTGTGCACGAACGAAATACGCGTTTGGAAGTTAGCTGTGATAAACGAGCGAAGGAACAAGGAGTTCGTTAATTATGAGGTCGGTGTTGCTGACATCTTGTAAACGATTATTCCACCACCACCAACTACCGTAACTTCAACGACAACCATCACAACTGCGACCACAACTACCATTACAACTACAACAAAAACCATAAACTATCACCATTACAACTACCACCACAGGCACTATTAGTTATCGCGACTACAACCAGAACTGCTACAGCCGCAACAGTCACAATCAACTACCACAACTGTAATCGCCCCAATATACCACAACTGTAACCAGTACAAATTACCACAACTGCAGTCACCATAGCTATAACCTCCACAAACTACCACACGGTCAACTTCCACAATTACAGTCATTACAACTACAACCTCTGTAGACTAATGAAACTACTCTCCACAAACTACCATAACTACAACATCACGTCTAAAAGCACGACAAACTACTACAATTAAAACTGTCATGAACTACCACTGCAACCACCATCAACTACCATCACCAGCTATCGCAACTATCATCTACCGCCACAACCACCACAAACACATCAACAGCCGCTACAAGGTACTACCACAGGCATTAATTACTACCACAACTACAACTATCATGAACTACCATAACTAAAACTCACAAGCTACTACGGCTATCACAAATTGCCACAACCACCCATACAACTACCACAAACCAACCACCACTAACCAGCCACAAAACAAACAGACCAGCCACACAACCATCACGCAACAACGCGAGCACCACCAACCAACCACACACCGCCAACTACGCTACCACCACAAACCTAGAACACAAAAATGGAGGAACACTGCAGTAGGCCTACTGGCCCATGCTAGGCACGTCAAACACCCACACAAGTACCTGTCAAACCTATTGTTTTAAAATTATCTAAAGTTCTCGCTTCAATGTCTCAGTGGTAAACTAAGCACTTTCCTATATCCTCTCTAAATCTAAATTTCTCCAACCTGAATCCCGTTCTGTGATTTTTTCTTGGTTATTTTCAGCACATTATTTTTGTCTCCTTTATTTAATCCAATTGTTCATTTACGCACTTTCATCACATATCCCCATTCCCTAATTCTACGTCTTTCCAGAGAGTGCAAATTCAGCCTCTTCAGCCTGATATGGGAAGGGAATCAACAATCACCACCAAAAAAACCACTCAACCACCAACATTCAGCCACATAATCGCCACCAATCAACCACTGAACCACCCCCACAAAGCAGCATCTCAGACACTCGCGACAAGATCTTGACTTAATAACAACACACAACAAGACTCGCTGACGGCATCTAACTGGAAATAAAAACAATTTGTCTCAGAGCCAAAGGAATGTTGTTACGAGTCCTGCCTGTGATACTAAAGTGACCCATGCTTGCAAGACTCACTAGGGTGACCCATGCCTGTGATAGGGTGACCCATGCTTGTGATACTAGGGTGACCCATGCCTGTGATACTAGGGTGACCCTTGCTTGTGATACTAGGGTAACCCGTGCCCATGATACTAGGGTGACCTATGCCTGTAATACTAGGGTGACCTATGCCTGTAACACTAGGGTGACCCATGCCTGTAATGCTAGGGTGATCCATGCCTGTAATACTAGGGTGACCCATGCCTGTGTTACTAGGGTGACCCATGCCTGTGTTACTAGGGTAACCCGTGCCTATAATACTAAGGTGACCCATGCCTGTGATACTAGGGTGACCCATGCCTGTGAGATTCGCTAGGATGGCCCATGCCTGTGATACTAGGGTGACCCACTCCTGTAAGATTCACTGAGTCCGACATAACAACTCCATAAAGAAACACCAGTTGACACTACGACACTACACAAGATAACTTACTGATGATGTTTCGCCACTGGTGGCTTTTTTAACCTCCTACATTGAAGCCATTAGTGACGAAACGTTTCGCTCAATAAATGCATTGAATCTACGTATAAATATCCCCCACAGTCTGTCGGTATTGTATTTATATAAAGATAAATCTTAATGACTCGTTAACCACAGGTGAGTCACAGCTCGGGACGCTACACAGGCACGTTGAAATAATGTTAACTGGGTGTAATATTAAGTAATCCGGTAGTCTTGGATTTAAGCGCAGTTTTTAACCTAGGAAAAATAATTAATTTAAAACTCGTTATAGCGGTACTAAGTGTATTACGGAAAGTGATTAGTGTAATATATATATATATATATATATATATATATATATATATATAATATATATATATATATATATATATATATATATATATATATATATATATATATATATATATATATATATATAGTGTATGTGTGTGTGTGAGGTATAAAACCTTGGTAACAGATACCAACAAATTGGTTTAGAAATACACGTAAGCGTACATTAGACATATTTATTATAAATTCATTTATTAATACCGGTAACCGCTGATGTCAAAGTCGCCGAGATCTGAGAATTACCCGTGTGGGATGCTCTGTAATTTGGTGAAACATAGAGCGAGTTACCCAGCAACAACATAAAAGCTTTAATCATTCTTAAGACCATCCCTTCTGACCCACGTGAACACCGGGATAGACAAGGTTAGGTTAGGTGAGTGCAGTTATTATCATGGACTTACCTAAGTATAACTAAGTTTAGCTAATTATAATGCGCTAAATAATAATAATAATAATAATATTATTTTTTTATTATTATTATCACACCGGCCGATTCCCACCAAGGCAGGGTGGCCCGAAAAAGAAAAACTTTCACCATCATTCACTCCATCACTGTCTTGCCAGAAGGGTGCTTTACACTACAGTTTTTAAACTGCAACATTAACACCCCTCCTTCAGAGTGCAGGCACTGTACTTCCCATCTCCAGGACTCAAGTCCGGCCTGCCGGTTTCCCTGAATCCCTTCATAAATGTTACTTGCTCACACTCCAACAGCACGTCAAGTATTAAAAACCATTTGTCTCCATTCACTCCTATCAAACACGCTCACGCATGCCTGCTGGAAGTCCAAGCCCCTCGCACACAAAACCTCCTTTACCCCCTCCCTCCAACCCTTCCTAGGCCGACCCCTACCCCGCCTTCCTTCCACTACAGACTGATACACTCTTGAAGTCATTCTGTTTCGCTCCATTCTCTCTACATGTCCGAACCACCTCAACAACCCTTCCTCAGCCCTCTGGACAACAGTTTTGGTAATCCCGCACCTCCTCCTAACTTCCAAACTACGAATTCTCTGCATTATATTCACACCACACATTGCCCTCAGACATGACATCTCCACTGCCTCCAGCCTTCTCCTCGCTGCAACATTCATCACCCACGCTTCACACCCATATAAGAGCGTTGGTAAAACTATACTCTCATACATTCCCCTCTTTGCCTCCAAGGACAAAGTTCTTTGTCTCCACAGACTCCTAAGTGCACCACTCACTCTTTTTCCCTCATCAATTCTATGATTCACCTCATCTTTCATAGACCCATCCGCTGACACGTCCAAACTCCCAAATATCTGAATACGTTCACCTCCTCCATACTCTCTCCCTCCAATCTGATATTCAATCTTTCATCACCTAATCTTTTTGTTATCCTCATAACCTTACTCTTTCCTGTATTCACCTTTAATTTTCTTCTTTTGCACACCCTACCAAATCATCCACCAATCTCTGCAACTTCTCTTCAGAATCTCCCAAGAGCACAGTGTCATCGCAAAGAGCAGCTGTGACAACTCCCACTTTGTGTGTGATTCTTTATCTTTTAACTCCACGCCTCTTGCCAAGACCCTCGCATTTACTTCTCTTACAACCCCATCTATAAATATATTAAACAACCACGGTGACATCACACATCCTTGTCTAAGGCCTACTTTTACTGGGAAAAAATTTCCCTCTTTCCTACATACTCTAACTTGAGCCTCACTATCCTCGTAAAAACTCTTCACTGCTTTCAGTAACCTACCTCCTACACCATACACTTGCAACATCTGCCACATTGCCCCCCTATCCACCCTGTCGTACGCCTTTTCCAAATCCATAAATGCCACAAAGACCTCTTTAGCCTTATCTAAATACTGTTCACTTATATGTTTCACTGTAAACACCTGGTCCACACACCCCCTACCTTTCCTAAAGCCTCCTTGTTCATCTGCTATCCTATTCTCCGTCTTACTCTTAATTCTTTCAATTATAACTCTACCATACACTTTACCAGGTACACTCAAAAGACTTATCCCCCTATAATTTTTTTCACTCTCTTTTATCCCCTTTGCCTTTTATACAAAGGAACTATGCATGCTCCTCTGCCAATCCCTAGGTACCTTACCCTCTTCCCCTACATTTATTAAATAATTGCACCAACCACTCCAAAACTATATCCCCACCTGCTTTTAACATTTCTATCTTTATCCCATCAATCCCGGCTGCCCTTTCCCCCTTTCATTTTACCTACTGCCTCACGAACTTCCCCCACACTCACAACTGGCTCTTCCTCACTCCTACAAGATGTTATTCCTCCTTGCCCTATACACGAAATCACAGCTTCCCTATCTCATCAACATTTAACAATTCCTCAAATATTCCTTCCATCTTCCCAATACCTCTACCTCTCCATTTAATAACTCTCCTCTCCTATTTTTAACTGACAAATCCATTTGTTCTCTAGGCTTTCTTAACTTGTTAATCTCACTCCAAAACTTTTTCTTATTTTCAACAAAATTTGTTGATAACATCTCACCCACTCTCTCATTTGCTCTCTTTTTACATTGCTTCACCACTCTCTTAACTTCTCTCTTTTTCTCCATATACTCTTCCCTCCTTGCATCACTTCTA